TTTCTACCGGTACTTATGTGTAAAATCAGGTATTGGTGGTAGTGCTGCAGTAGGCCTGTTCTGGCAGAGGTAAGATATTTCTACCGGTACGTATGTGTAAAATCAGGTATTGGTGGTAGTGCTGCAGTAGGCCTGTTCTGGCAGAGGTAAGATATTGTTACTTATGTGTTAAAATCAGGTATTGGTGGTAGTGCTGCAGTAGGCCTGTTCTGGCAGAGGTAAGATATTGCTACTTATGTGTTCACATCAGGTATTGGAGGTAGTGCTGCAATAGGCCTGTTATGGCAGAGGTAAGATATTGCTACTCTTGTGTTCACATCAGATATTGGAAAATGTTAGCATTTATCATTCTAGTATTGTTAAATTTTGTAGAATTATGTCAGTCGTTCTTTTGTCTGTTATTTCTTGGACCTATTTCACCATTATGAATTTAATAAATATGAGCAGTGTTGTATATTGAAATTATCTTTGTGGTCACCAATGAGTATATTTAATAAATATATGATTTCACAAAGAACATTTGGATTAAATATTTTATCGTACAAAAATATTTGAAAATAATGCAGTATTTAAATACAGATACACCTCTGTAATTAATGTGAGTGCTACTAACAGAGCAAATATGCTATTTATCTTAGATAATCTGTTATAAAACATAGTTAAAATATAGAAACCCTGCCTTTGATTATGCAGAAAACGTTTAGTAGCAGCAACAGATGTGCAGTCAGCAAACACTGAGGACACTGAGGTACAGGAAAGTGATGACTCTGGCGAAGATCAAGAGGATTCTGGGAAAAAGAAGAAGAAAAGACCAGGATTCAGAGATAGAAGGGTAAGAGATGATGTCACTTTTGGTATTTCTTAAAGTTGGTAGTCATCTCAATGTGTTTAGATATGATTTAAAAATAGATTGGTAAGAGATGATGTCATCTTTTGACATTTCTTAAAGTTGGTATGTTCGATATGATTACTATATCAGCTCTTTTGAAAGTGCATTTCTAATAGAAGCATATGTACTTAGCGCTATCAGAAGTACAACCAGTCTTCTCCCCAGGACATTTTGTTAAATGTAGATTAATGATCTTTTTCACATACTAGTATTCATAAATCATACCTTTACAGTGGGCGCAAAATATTTACATACACCTAACTCCTGGACCCAGTAGAAAATTACTGAGGGACTTAGCCAGACACTTTCCAAGATGCTCTAGTGACTGTTGTGACTCAATAAAGTTTGATGTATTTGAAAAAAAGCAAAGTACACAACATGATGAATAACTCTAGTTGTTTTTGCTGTTGAGAAGCCGGAACAAGTGTTTTTTTGAAAGGAATTTTCTCTGCCTGGCCAAAATATTTAGCTTCATTAATGCATTTTTTCACTCAAGGTAATGGTTGTGTACCAGACTTTTAGTTTAATGGCCACCTTTGATGTACTACCTGTAAGTGGGGTGGAATGACCACTTGGTGTGGTCACCAATGCACTAACTTTTGGGAAAAATCATGTTTTGGCCAACGAAATTCTTCAAAAAACCGACCTCTGAAACAAATTCACAAAAATACCCCATCCCTTATTACAAAGTATATTTGACATGACTTCACGTAGCGAATACATAATTTATGGTCAACGTAACACAAGCACATACATACTAGTTCAAAATCATGGTAAAATATAAAATATGTATCATTGCGACCCCATAGTTCCTGAAAATGTCAAAAGAACTTATTGATTATTGAAAAAGAACCTATTGACCATTGAAAATACCAAAAAGGAACCTATTGACCATTAAAAATGTCAAAAAGGAACCCATTGACTATTGAAAATGTCAAAAAGGAACCTATTGACCATCGAAAATATCAAAAAGGAACCTATTGACCATTGAAAATGTCAAAAAGGAACCCATCGACTATTGAAAATGTTGAAAAGAAACTCATTGACCATTGAAAATATCAAAAAAGAACCTATTGACCCTTGAAAATGTCAAAAAGAAACCTAATGACCATTGAAAATGTTGAAAAGGAACCTATT